CCAAGAACCTGGCCACCCGTGCCCACCTGTGACACCCCGACATCCCCCCCTGACGTCGCAGGCACCTGCATCTCCCGAGGACTTGTTTCGCACCCCCCTGAGCACAGGTGTTCACGGAGGACGCCGGCAGATTCGCTCCCCCAGCCCGTGCGCACTCTGCATCGGCGCCGTGGCCCCTGGGATGTTCCGACAAACGCCTACAGCGGCGGTGTTCGAACGTTTGGGTCTCAGGACCCCTTTCTCCTCTTCAGAATTACTGAGCGTCTCAAAGAGGTTTTGTGTACATGGGTTTCATCTATGCATATCTACTGGAATATAAATTTAAACGAGAAGCTGAAAACACATTTGTGTATGAATGCACCGAACATGAAAGAGTCGACTCCTTCCACGTTCACAGACATGACGGCCTTCCGGAAAATAACCGTTTTCAAAACAAAATTTTTTTCTGGCCGGTCAAGATGGCAGCATAGGCAAGCCCGGCTCACCTCCTTGCACGACCACAGCAAAATCACAACTAAATTATAGCACCACCACCACGCGGGAATGTCAGAAATCGGCTGAACGGAAGTCTGACAACTGTGAAATGGAGCTGAGTGGAAGCCTGACAACCGCAGAATTGGAGAAGGAAGCCACATCCATCCCGACGGGCGGGGGGGCAGAGGCGGGAAAGGGGCTGGTCCCAGCCTCACACCCGGCCCCCCAGACCAGGGTTCCAGTGCCAGGAACATAAGTCCCCACAACTTCTGGCTGCAAAAACCAGCCAGGACTGACTCGGTGGGAGAAACTTCTGGAGCCCCAAGCAGCTCCCCTTAAAGAACCCACACACAGACTCACCTACTCAGACTCGCTCGCTCTGAGCTCCAGCACCGGGACCGCAGCTCAAAAGGCGCTGGTGGCCTACAGGGAGGGCCTGAAAGGTCTGGCACCAAGATGACCGCTGGGGGACAGCTTCCTCCCTGACAGAAAGGCAGACTGAGGCCGCTGGCCCTTTGCTGAGCCCTCCCCCAACAGAGCCACAGAGCCGGCAGGTGGGTGCCCTGCATCTCCGCCAACCTGGCTAACTCTGTCCGCCCCACCCTGGAGAGCCCCTGCGGCTCTGCCCCACCCAACTTACGGGCCCACCCAACCTGTTAACTGTGGCTTTTCCACATAAATGGCAGATCTGGGCTCACGCTTCACAGCTTCCTAAATCCTCTCAAACAGGCAACAGCAGGCCTCCGTGAGCCCCCAACTCCCTGTCCTTCTTGCTAAGTGGCCCCAGGCCTGGCACTAGCAGCAGCCAGCCTAGATTCACAGCTTGGCTTTGCCTGGGAATCTCCAAGCCCAGCACAAGGAGCAGCCAGCCATCTGAGACTGTTTCATAGCCGAGGTAGGGTGGCCCGGGCAGAACACGGGTGGGGGCTGACCTTGGCCTGCACCGCCTAGGCCACCGCAGAGCCCGACAATGGAGGAGTATTTCAATCATCTTTTGGGGTAATTATAGACATTTTTCTGTGATGGCATTGCAACATCCAATCAATGGTTGTTTCTTCCAGGTTTGTTGCAGTGTGAAATCTGAAATCACGCGCACATTTTTGTGCTTCGTTGAGTTAAAAAAAAAAATCCATTGTTTTGTTTTCCCCTTTGAAACGGATCTTTGATCCTCTGCAACTTTGTAGCAGCACCCCCAGGTCATTTGGACATCGAGTCCCGGTCTGAACACACGAGTCATTATACAGCGTCCAGAAGAAACGATCACCTCCGCTCACATCGCCATCCATCTCACCCACCGCAAAGGTCTGCGGGTATCGGGAAGCTGTCAGTGTCACGGTGGCCGGCGGGAGTCTTCCAAGCTCCCGATTTCCCCTTCAAAGCTCTGATTTCCCGACGGCTCGCCGCCCCCGCCGGCTGTTTACCTCGAAGTGACGGCTCACCTCATGTGTCTGGAGAGAACTACTCACCGGATGCTGCAGACTGAACCGTGAGAGGTCATCTCTCGGGAGCGCTTTCAAATAAAAACGGTGCTTCATTAAAAAAGCTGTTAGCTCAGCTCACTTCATTTTCATGTCATCACCTCTTTAAAGATCCTCGTTGCTGCCTTGGCCGGGAGGTTCGGGTGCTAGGAGAGTTGTCTGCGCACCAGGAACTTGAGGGTTCGATCCCTGGTTAGGGTGGGTGTGTACAAGAGGCAACTGATCAGCGTTTCTCTCTCTCTCCCTCCCCTCCCTCCTTCACTCTCTAAAATCACTGACCATATCTTCAGGTGGGTATTAAACATGATCATAACAGCAACTCTTCCCAGATACAGCCACAGTCTGAGGTATGTGGTCAGGGCTTGAGCCTATGCATTTGGGGGGCAGGGGGTGCAATCCCACTAATAAATTGTGTTCCTCGAGCTGGCATTTCAGAGGTACTTCACGGCAGGTGGGAGTTTTGTACCTGTGTACATTTTAAATGCTTTATATCACGGCCACGCTCTAAGATAAAAAGCTGAAATGTTCTGATTGTTCCTTTGAGTCTGTAGGACATAAACCTGAATCTCTCACCCTGGCTAGTGTGTCTCAGTGGATTGAATGCTGGCCTGCTAACCAAAGGGTCACCAGTTCGATTCCCAGTCAGGGCACAGGCCTGGGTTGCAGGCCAGGTCCCCAGTAGGGGGGCGTGCGAGAGGCAACCACACATGGATGCCTCTCTTCTTTCCTTGTCCTCTCTCTAAAAATAAATAAATAAAATCTTTTAAAAAAACACACACACACAAACTGTATTTCTCAACAGACTTCGGTTCTTCTGGAAACACTGCCCTGGATGGATGGCTTTCTCATGAGAGCATCCTACCTGGTTTTTAATTCTCTGACACTCCAGTGTTCACAGAGCATCCTCAGGAATGCCCGGCTTGGTCCCTGATTAGATAGCGGCTCCCTTAACGATCAGTGAGGCTGCTGCACCACCCCCTGCTGGAGGGGAATAAGATTGCAAGCCCAGGATGCCTTGGAAGATCTCTGGAGAGATACCATGGTCTAGGCCTGCCTGCCTGCCCAAAACGCAGCGCACTACTCCTCCGGCTCCGGGACCCTGAAACGTGGGCCCCTGCAGAGCTGCTGCGAGCTATTTTCTCTCGAAGAAGAGGTTTCATAGTGGACATCTGGGGGTTCTGCGACCCCAAGAAGGGGAGGTATTGGAAACAAGCAGGAGCCTCCCCCCCGCCAGAGACACACTAGCACCACATACGGGCAGCCACAGCCTGCAGTTTTTGAGGGGTGTTGGGTGAAGCGTGGCCGCAAGTCGCCTTGCACTGAATGAAGGACTCGCATCAACATTTCCCGATGGCGTCCTCTCCCCTCTGCCCCACTGGCCTCACTTTACAGCGGTAGAAACTAACGTGTGTTTCTCTTTTCAAACAGCCTGAAGGTTTCTGGACAAATCTGCAGCCCACCTTGTAAATAGGCAGGATCTCATAACACCCATTGTACTACGCATTTAAAGATGTTTCAGGCACCCTGGCCAGGTGGGCCCGTGCTTGGAGCATCGTCCCATGCACCACAAGGTTGTGGGTTCGATCCCCGATCAGGGTACATGCTTAGGCTGAGGGTTTGGTCCCCAGCTGGAGCAAGCGTGGGAGGCAGCTAATTGATGTTTCTATCACATCTCTCTGTCTCTCTCTCCCTCTCTGAGATCAATGAACATGCCCTCGGGCGAGGATAAGATAAAATTTTAAAATGCTTAATGCTCTTTTATTTCCTTTGTGTCATCTCATTTTTTATTCCAATTCATTTTATCTTGCTGCCTCACAGATCTCTTTGTGAAGCGCTGTAAATCAGACCTTCCAGGAAGGGGCTCAGGGCAGTTTCTCAGTGACTGAGAAACAGGCAACTGAGTGTGTGTGGTTGTGAGTTGTGTGAGTGTGTGTGGGGAGAAAGGCCTCGATGTTTCCCTCTATCAGTGAGGTGGTGCTTTCTGGACGGCCCTTCTCCAGCGCTCCCTGGCCTGGAAGCACACTGAGTGGGGCCCTGTGAGGAGCCTGCAGCTTCTCGGTGATTCTAGAAAAAGTGGACTAAACATTCTGGCTCCCACACGTCAGCCTCTCTAGGAACCGCAGCAACTGGTGACATGTCTTGTGTTTTATCCTTAAAGGAAAACGGTCCTTCATGGGAAGCACTGGGTTGTGGGGCCGGGGTCGGGGGGGGGGGGGTGTTAAGAGGGAGGCAATAAGGAGCTGGAATCTTCCGGAGAAGAAAGGCCAGAGACTCCAAACTCGAACATTGGCATGACAGGCTAGCACACATGGGAAGCTGAGAACGCTCTCGGGGCACGCAGACCACCCTAGAAGGAGGTGGGTAGGGGGTGCTAGAGGAACGTTTCAAGGAAAGTTCATTGGTAAACTTGTTCCCCTCGGAAAACTCATTGCAGGGAAAAAAGCGGCAGCACCACGGACAGCACCACACGCCGGGGTTCTGGGGGCGCGGGGGAGGGGGCGGCAGCACCACGGACAGCGCCAGTGTGGCGCGCTCCGGGCTAGAGGCGGGGAGGGGCGACCTTATCAGCTGATGCCTTACGTAGGCTGGACCCCCCAGTTTGATAAGTCGGGTCCCGGTGGGCTCTCGGAGCTGCCGAAAGGGGCGGGGGCGGGGGACTGGCAGGAGGCAGGTCCCGCCTGCAGCTGTCTGGAGAGGGAGAGAGAGAGAGGGGCAAGCAGATAGGCTGAGCGCCTGGAAGTCCTGCTCTGACGCACCAACCCCCCCAAGCAGCCACACGCACGCTCCGCAGCGCCGAGCTTCTCTCAGACTTGGGAGATGCGCGGCTCTGGGTGACCAGACCGCTCTCTCCTCCGAAGCAAAGAGACCCGGGCACGCGATAGCTCAGCCGGCTCTGGCTGGGAGACGCAGCCCTCGGGTCCTGCTCCCCTAGCCTCCCTCTCTTCCACGCAATGCTCACAGGCATTCCCTAGAAGCCCCTGAGCGTAGTGGCCACCTTCAGTCCTGCTGAGCCCCTCTCTGCACGCACCTCGGGCCAGTCTCCTGACCCAGAGATGGATTTTCCGGACAACTTCACCAACTCCTCCATCGACACCCCTACCCCTCCGGAGTCCAACCTCAGCATGGGCACGGAAGACTCGCCCCCGAGCCAGCCCGCCCGCTCAATCTGGAACGTGCTGGCCCTTACCTTCCTGGGCTGCCTAGTGGCAGCCACGTTCGCCTGGAACCTGCTGGTGCTGGCGACCATTGCCCGGGTGCGCACGTTCCACCGCGTGCCGCACAACCTGGTGGCGTCCCTGGCCATCTCAGACGTGCTGGTGGCCGCGCTGGTGATGCCGCTGAGCCTGGTGCACGAGCTGGCCGGCCGGCACTGGCACCTAGGTGAGCGGCTGTGCCAGGTCTGGGTGGCGTGTGACGTGCTCTGCTGCACCGCCAGCATCTGGAACGTCACGGCCATCGCGCTGGACCGCTATTGGTCCATCACGCGCCACCTCGACTATACGCTGCGCGTGCGCAGGCGCGTCTGCGCCGCCCTGCTCGTGGTGACGTGGGTGGTCTCCGCCGTCATCTCGCTGGCGCCGCTGGCCTTCGGCTGGGGGGAGCTGTACTCCGAGAGTGAGCAGGTGTGCCAGGTGAGCCGGGAGCTCTCCTACACCCTGTTCTCCACCGTGAGTGCCTTCTTCCTGCCGCTCTCCGTGGTGCTCTTCGTCTATTGCCGCATCTACCGGGCCGCCAAGTGCCGCGCTGCCTTCCGCAAGAACAACTGCGTGCGTCCCACGGCGGAAGCCGGCAAGGTGGGTGCCTCTGAGCCCTAAAAGCCCCTCCCTTTGCATCTGAGCAGGCTTCATGCCCAGTACACCTCTCCCTGGGTGTGTAAAAAGTAGAACTTTTAAAGGTTTTTCTCTTTGGGGGGGGGAGGGCAGGAGGGACGAGGGCAGGGGGGTGGCCGGGAGACCCAAAGACAGCATCAGGGGTCGGGGGTCCCAGAGCCGGTAATGTCCTTCGTCTCCACGGTGGTGGGGTCCTCTTTTCTGTGTAAAATGAGGGGTCGGGGCCATCTACAGGGTCCCCTTGGGCTCTCAGACTGAAAACATGGGTCGGGTCGGTGTCTGGGGCTGTGCTTGGGGGTCTGGCAGCTTCCTGGCCTTCCAGGGGGCTGTTCCAGCGAGAGGGAAGGGACAGGTGGTGGCCCGGCTTGGCAGGAAGATGGCCGAGCCCCAGGCAACACAGGTGCGTGTCTCCATCGGTCTCTGTCTTTCTTTGCAAACGCAACGCCTGTGGGCGTGCTGGGTACTGCATCTGACAGCGCGAGGTTGAAGGTGGGTCTCCAGGGGTCTCAGAGAGCCCCTCTGCACTGCCTGCGCCACAGTCCGGGGCGGCCCCCCGCCCCCTCGGGCTGCATGGCGGCGGAGGGCCACCTGTCTGCCTCCCTGCACGTGGGCAGAGCTGCAGGAGGCTACCTGAGGCAGGCAGTCCACCAGCCCTGCCTCCACAAGTGGCATGTAATGTGTGACAACTGCGACAGTGACGGGGGGGGCTCTTCTGTCATTTTCTGTCCACCCACCCTTTCCTGCAGTTGTTAACCCTCGGTAAGCTGATGGTGGTGGTCCTGGTGCCCCCCTCGGTCCCTCACCCACGGCCGAGGATGACCCCTCAAACCCAATTCCCATTCTCTAGCAGGTCTGGCATCTACGCAGTGCCCATTTTCTGGTCTGCGCAACAAGATGGCCTCGGTTGGGCATGCTGGGCACGTCCGGCTTTGGTGCAGAGGTGACGCAATGGCAGTGACGCCATCTTTGTCAGGGAGAGTGTGGTCTGGGGAAGGCGAGGCACCCACTGTGATGGCCGCCAGGACCAGAGCTCCTTCCGGCCACAGCCCACGAGCCCAGCCTCCAAGGGCCGGGTGCAGGGGAGGGGGGAGGGAAAGGGGGTGGGCAGCTACCCGCCCTTTCATCTAGAACAACGTTCTCAGTCGGGGGGAGGGGTTTGCTCCCCCCTCCCACACACTGCAGAGGACACTGGGCATGACGGGGCACATTTCTGATGGCCAAGACTTGGGGAGAGGGGGCTGATGGCCTCCTGTGTGCAGGCACCGGGGACAGGGACCCCCGTGCACGGGGCTGGAGTGTGGCTCTGGCCAAGGGGCAGACCTGTGCCTCTTTCCCACATGTCACCTTCTCAGGGTCACGGATGTCACTGGAAAGAGGTGCAAACTGTGAAGCCTCTTCTTTGGGGAAAAGGAATGCTCTGAGCCGTCCTGCCAGGGCTCATGTTTCAGGGTCCCCGACCTGCAGGGGTGACAGGCTGCCTGTGAGGCAGGCAGGACAGCCCCCCTTCACCCCCAAGCAGAGAATCATCCAGACCCAAAGGTCAGGCGTGCCAGATTTGGGACCCCTGACCTGTGAGATCTCTAAGCAGCACAGAGGGCCGAGGCACTAGACCACCACCGAACCACCTGGAGCTCAGGTGCGTGACACCCGCCCCCATTCCGGGGCAGGAGCGAGGGGGGCCAGCCACTCACATGGCCCCGCTCACATGGACCCACCGCTGTCAACGTGCAGGTGAAGACTGTTTACAGACGGCACCGACCCCTCCAGAGGGAGAAGCAATTACGGTTCTCCCCCGGGGCTCACTGTGGCAAGTGAGGGCTCTCGTGTTCTGCTCCGGGGGTGACAGCAACAAAGCGTCGTGACATCCGTGCGCTTTTAAATATATATTTTTAGCACTGTTTTGTTTTTCTCTCTCTCTGACAGATAGCTTTGGAGAAACACACCCCTTGGCTCTGCAAGGCCTCTGGGGGGGGCCCAGGCTGTGCCGGGCACAGGGGGCTGCCTCGGTCCCCACGTTGCTGCACAGGGTCAATCACAGACCTGGTCTCCTGGTTCTGTGGTGGTCGCAGGTGCCCAAGTTTCCAAATCCAGTTCCACCTGGAAGCAGCTGTGTCACCTGGGAGAGCAGCCCTTCCTCTCCGTGTGTTCACCTGCAGAGCCATGGTTCTCACACACACGCATACACACACACACACACGCACACGGAACTCCTCACCTGAGTCAGACACTGAGGCAGGGACAGGAAACACAGGACAGAGAGACCTTGTCCTTGTCTTTGGCCCTGTCCAGGGGTGACAAAGCAAGGGCACAGGTGGGCTCTCCGAGGTGTGAGTGGGTCACTGTCCTGTGAGCTGCGAGGTAGGGTGGCTGGTAGTGAGTCCGCCCCAGCTACCTGGCTCTGCAGAGGGAGGGGCTGGCGCCGACAGGTGACGTGTCCTGGAGCCACAGGAAGTGTGAGAGGGACTCAGGGCCACAGAGCGCCCAGCCCTGCCTGCAGTTTGTGGGGACACTTCGTTCCCGGCCCCCCACTCCGGGTACCCCTTCAGCCACAGCCTCACACTGCCAGCCTGCCTGGTCTTTCCAGGCAGAAAGGGGTGGTCCGCTAGCCCAGGCAGCAAAGGCTAGGCTCCCACCCAGGCTGCTGGGGTTAAGCTACTCAAACAGATGCCCTGGGGCTCAGGGCGCGACATTCACTGTCAACTGCTGGCCTTTCAAATGCAAACTCGACTCCCCCTGGGTGGTCACTGCCCCGGGACTCTCTCCCCTGAAAGGATTTCACCTCGCTGGCTGCTCTAGCTGCCCTGGCAGAGTTAGTCTCCCAGTGCCCCACCGGGGGTCGTGCTGACCCCCCTCCCCCCAGCAGGACAGACAGGAAAGAGCTGGTTTCAGCCCAGCCCCAAGAGCCCCGCAGCTCCTCAAGACACGTGGTCTGCTGGGCCTAGGTGGCTGGCGTGCGGCCTGTGAGTGTGGTCAAGACGGCCCCTCGCCTTGGGGTCCTCTGCTCGTCCTCAGATCCTCGGTTCAGCAGTGCCCATGCGCTCCAGGCCCCGGCCGGCGTCCGAGGAGCCCCGGTTCGGGGTGTTTCCGGAGGGCATCGCGGCGGCCAGGAACACGCACTCCCCGTGTATTTTTTTAAAGGACTCCTGAAGGTGATGTGTCCCCCACCCCCCGCCCAAACCCTCACCCGAAGGTATTTTTCTGTGCATTGCAGAAGGAGGAGAAGGAAGGAGAGAAGGAAGGCGAGGGCAAGGAAGGCGAGGGCAAGGAAGGCGAGGGCAAGGAAGGCGAGAAGAAGGAAGGCGAGGAGGGGAAGAAGCATGGACGTGAGAACGAGACCCCAAACTGCTGCCTCCGCTTCCTGCTCCGACTGCGGGTTGGGCCTGCGGCTCAGGTAATGCGCTCCCGGCTGGGAATCGAACCCACGACCTCTTGGTGCCCGGGGCGGCGCTGCAACCCACTGAACCACACCCAGCCAGGGCTATAGGTGACATTTCTGTGGCGAGTTAAAGACATGAATGACTCCGAAACATACCCACTGTTGGTTTAGATAGTTTTAGCAGTTTTCACAGGTTCCGTCATTCCACACTCTGGCTTCTTGTTAAAAAAAAAATTATTTTATCAACGAGGCTGGACTAGAGCAGCTCTGGTTGCTTTTGATATAATCCCCCCCAACAAGCCGGGTGTTGGGGTTTGGGACTAGCATATCGAAGTTCTGTTGGGGGGGGCGGGGCAAAGACACTTCTTCAATTACAGACACAACCACGAGAACATTCTTTTTCTTTCGGCTGCGGATTAGACGGTGAGTCACAGGCTGCTGAACCGGGGGAGATAACACGGGGGAGAGGACGTGCCAGTAATTCCCAATGAGCTGACCAGCAGAAACACGCTGGGTGGCTCTCGTCAGCACTAGGGCCGCACCCCGTGCGGCGACATCCCATGTCAAGGCTTCCTAGGTGCTCTGACACCTGTTGGCTAATCTCTGAACCTCGGCGGCCGGTGGCCGGGGGTGAGGGGTGGCTCCAGCTGCCAGCGTGCCCCTGGGGAGGGCCCGTGACCTAAAGGGGGCACGACCCGGAGTGCTGAACTCGGCAGCGAGTCACAGAGGCGAACCCGGCGCCCTCCTGGCAGGGACCCGGGAGCTCGGGCACGGGGCGCACAGGGCGGGGTCCAGGCTTCCGCCACCTGGAGTTCTCTATTAAATAAAATGTCCCTTCCCTCGAGCCTTTCAAAATGCAGCCTGTAGCCACCCGTTTGTCTTCAGTGACCTCCCTTCACCGTCCGGTGTAATCGGCCTTTTTTAAAGAAATCTTTCCACTGGAGGGTGTTTTCCTTGTAACTTCTTAGTACAGGCCGAGGTGCTTGTCCCCCCCCCGTTAGAGGACTCGAATGGCAGGCGGGTGGCTCTGCTGTCCCCTCCCAGCAAGGAGGGGACAGGCGCCATGCCTGCCGTGCCCCTCCATCACGGGCACTCCCCCCTGGAAGTCCCGAGGGGCCGGGGCCGGGGGCTCGTCACGAAGCAAGCCCCCGCTCTCCTTCTGCAGAAGGCGGAGTACTCGGCCAGCGACAACAGGGTCACCCTGCACACGGACGCCGACGCGCTGAGGGAGCACCGGGAGCAGAGGGCCGCCGTGATGGTGGGCGTCCTGATCGGGGTCTTCGCCGTGTGCTGGCTGCCCTTCTTCACCACGGAGCTCGTCAGCCCCCTCTGCGACTGCGACCTGCCGGACGTCTGGAAGAGCCTCTTCCTGTGGCTGGGCTACTCCAACTCCTTCTTCAACCCGTTCATCTACACGGCCTTCAACAAGACCTACAAGAGCGCCTTCAAGAACCTGTTTTGCCGCCAGTCCTAAGGGCCCGGCCCCGGGGGGGATGAGAGAGTTCCTCCTGCCACCCCGTAGAATCTCCGTGGTCGTCTGTGCCCCCACCCCGGTGTGAAGACACCTGTCCCCCGAGTCCCGCCCGCAGTGCCCTCCCGCCAGCCGTTGAGGAAGGCAGGCCTCCTCGGCCGGGTCGGGAGGGACTCGCTTTAGCTAACCCCTCCGCTGCTTCTCTCTCTGCACCCATCAGCTACTGCCCTGGCTCCCCAAGGGCCTTTTCCTGGCCCCCAGCCTGGCACGGTGGTCACCCTCGTCCCCGAAGAGTCAGACGAGGCAGGTAAGAGGGAGGGAGTCCGACAGAGCCAGGAGGGCGGAGAACGAATCCGCACAGCGACTGGGAAGTTAGGTGGGGACCTCTGGGGGGTCAGGAAGCCATCACCCCGAGTGTTTGTGGAGCAATCCCCGTCGCCCCGCCTTCCTCCTTCCCACCGCCCTGGTCCAGTGCGCCGTGATATTTACTGTGCGTGTCCTCTGTATTTGACCACCGAGTGTCGTGTCTGTGAACTCCTCGGCGCCCGCAGCGGCATCTGTAAGACCAGTGGGTGTTGACCCGCAGCTGTGTGCGGGGCGCATGCGCCGCCCCCTCCCCCCCACGCGCGCAGCTGCGCCCGAGCGAGAAGGCTCCCCCCTCGGCGAGTTGATCCGGAAAGGCGTCCCAGCGACGCGGGACGGGAACTCCAGGTCAGATCAGATCCCCCCTCCCCTTTGGAAGCAGCCACGCACGAACTGTGGAGACGTCCACTGCTGAGGGACAGGCCCCGCGGCGCTCGCTTCTCGGCTCCCGTCCTCCGCCCCGGACCCCCTCCGGCGTCACCGGAGCGCCACCTTCACCCTGGAACCATAGGTTCAGAGGAAAACAACTGCGCGTGGTTGTTGACTCCTTGACAAAGGGCTACGATGGCATATTCACCGAATGCGTGCTCTTTAAGGGGAATAGCAGAATACTTTGAAAAGTGCTATTTTTTTATTGATGAGTGCCTGTTTGAGGTCCACACCGGCCCCCGAGGTGAAAGGTGGAGAGTGGGGGGGGCGCCCCGTAGGGGCTCCGCCCCGCCCAAGTGGACACCTCGGCCCGGCCGGTGGGGCTAGCCCACTAGGTAAGGAAGCCGTGTTTACATGATGACGTGGAACCCAGGTCATTGTACATAACCGCACCGGAAACTGCCTCTGCTCTGCTATGCCCCTGTTTTCTTGAATGCATGCACTTAAAAAAACTAGATGTTGTGACAACTCTGCGATCGTGATACTGCATCATATCACGTGTGTTTTTGTATGTAGTAGATCGTATCAATAAAGATTTCAAAAGCAGCAACCGTGTGTGGATCCGAGGGCGGAGGTCGCGCCCCTGGGGCACAGCCGGGAGGGTCCCCCCCCCCCACCCACGCCCCTGTCCACGGGGTCTGCGCAGCGCACGCGCGCTGCGGCCGGGGAGTCTAGTCACGACGCCAAGTGCAGACCGCTTATCTCGGGGAGCACATCCATTCAAGCGTTTCTTTGGAAACATCCTCAGATAATTCTTTCTCCTTGCGCTTGAAGTGCTACCCCCACAGCCTTCTCGAACGCAGGCAGGCCGCTCACTCCTGAATTACCTTCCCCTCTCCCTGTTGCTTGGAGGCGGCGACACCAGCCAATGCCGCTCTTTTCCGGTTCGGAGCGGGGGAGAGAGGCCCCCCGCCCCACCCCACCCCACCCTGCAAACTTCACTCAGGGCCCCCACAGCAGAGAACAAAAACACGCGGAGACGAGGGCAGAGTTGGCGGGGGCGGGGGTGGGGGCTTGGAAGCGTCTCTGTCAGCTCCGAGTCCGCGTGACACTTTTTTTTAATGCCGCTCATTCACTTGAGTGCTTGTCTCCCCGGGACAAGAAGCGCTCTCTCCTCCAAACTTCTCAGCAGAGCCGCACTTTGGGAGGGTGTCCCACGAGTGCCTGGCCCCTCCCGACACTCCTCACGGCCCTCCCCGCGCGTCCTCCCCACCCCCGCCCGGATTCTGGACGCCTTCTGGGAGAAAGCTGTTACTCCAATATCAATTTCAAGCTCCCACCGAGGTTATTATTACTACGTTTCCCAAGACAAACACGTGTTGTTGTTGTTGTAGTAGTAGTTAAGGCACACCAGCACTTCCACACGTGCCTTACACACACACACGCACACACGTGTGTGTGCGAGTCCCACAAACAAGCTGGCACACACACCCTGCGTGCGGGCGGGCGGGAGGGGGTGGCGGTGGGGCGAGAATTCCCCGGCTTCCATTCCCCACGGGCACTGTTCAGGGGGGAGGAAGAAGAGGCCAATTTTGGCGGCGCTGGGTGTCCAGGGGACGATTCAAACACCTCTGGGTCAGGGTCACACTTGGCTGCTGGGACAAAGGCAGCCGTTCACAGGCTGGTCCTCAGATGGGACCTGCCGTCCACACCCGCCTCTCTTCCCGTGGGGGGGGCGCCAGCAGGAGCCCCTGTGCCTAGGGAAGCGGCAGCAAGGCCTCCGCACAGGTCGCTAACACTGACACCCCCCTCCCGCTCACGCCGGTAGGGGGTAGGGAGCGGGGTAGAAGCCCAGAGGGAGAGATAGACACCTGAGGCTAACTATCACCAACATGGAGAACACCGGCTCACCTTGGCCCAAGTGCCCCACCCCCGCTGCCTTCCTGTCTTCCTCCGGGCGGCGACCTCCCTGGGGCCCTGTGACCTCCCCGGGGCCCTGTGACCCGGGTTCCCTCGGCAGCCAGCCCACCACTGCTGGCGCTGGACAGCCCGACATCCTCCGCTCCTCCGGAGGGCGAGTGGCCTGCAGACCGAGTTCTGCTCCTCGAGCTCCTCCGGGTCGCCGTGGACCGGACAAGGGCGGGGCTTCCTGGGCCTGCCCTGCGTCAGCACACCTAGGCCCTCACCTGTGCACACCAGGTGATCCCAGTGGAGGGGTGCCTCCACAGGCTGGTTTCCCCCAGGCCCTCGAAGACACCGGCGCCAGAGCCGGCCGGCTGCTCAGGGCTCCGCTGAGGCCCCCGAGCTCCCTGGGCAGCGGCCCGGGTGGCCTGCACCCCCTTCCCGTGGGTCTCGGTGCCCCTAGCGCGCACCTCTCCTCAGGGATCTCAGGACAGCTCATCAGGCTCCTCCTCCGAGTTTGGAGAGCTCAGTCACCTCAGGGGGACCTGGCCCCCGAGTTCCCACCTCTGGTTCCTCCACCAGCTCAAACCCCTGACTGAGGAGCCCTCCTACTAAGTTCTCCCTGCCACCGGGCTGGTGACCCTCCTTCCCCGCTAGCCTCTGAGCCACACAGGGGACAGGCCACGAGTTCGTGGGCGCACCCCCCACGGCCCGGCAAGGACGGTGTCCTCCGTGTGCCCCCGAGGTGGGCTGCCTCAGCGTCTGTCCCAACAACACCGGAGTGTCCACGCTCTGCTGCCGCCCTGCGTCCAGAGCGCCTGCCCAGGTGGGCACTCAGTGGGCAGGGGCCCTTACGGCATCACGGCCTCTGTCTCCCAGCCTCCGCCTTCCGGGTCAGCTCGCGGGAAACTGAGCTCGGGGGTGTCGTGGGCCCAGCACGCTCCCCCACAAATTCATCCGTGAAAACTCTAACCCCAGTATCTCACGGGGGGACTGTACTGGGACACGGGCCTTCACAGAGGGGATGAAGGTACAATGAGATTGTGTGTTGGGGGTGGGGGTTCCAGACCCAGTGAGACCGGCGTCCTCAGAAGGAGAGGAGGGGAGGACGCAGACGCACACAGAGGGGTGGCCACCCGCACCCCCAGGAGAGGGGCCGCGGGAGGAAGCAGCCCCGCCCGCCCTGGGTCTCAGCCTCCAGCCTGCAGGACTAGCAGAGGAGAAACTCATGTTCAAACTGCCTTGTCGATGGTGGCTCGTCACAGCAGCGAATAGAGTCACACGCTCACACAGGGGGTGGGGGGGCAGCCCTGCTGGTGAGGAGCGCAGGTGAGAGCCCGCAGGTGGGGGCGGCGAGTCAGAGCTGCGCCGTCGGCTGCAGGAGAGAGGTCTGGCTCTCCGAGTCCACTCGAGTCTCTGCCGTCCCCTCCTCAGGGCCCTCCGTCCCGACCAGGTGCCCTCAGTGGGGCCGGCGGTCCCGCCCGGGACTGGACAAGGGGGCCGAGAGCACGGGGCAGGGAGGTGGGAAGGGGGACCCCTCCCCGGCTCTCCTCGCCCCTCCTGCCCCTCGAGGCGAGTGGCTCCCCCTGAACCCCAGGGAAGGGGCGCGGCCAGGCCCCGCCCACCGCACCTGAGGACCACGTGCCCTCGTGGTTCCCAGCAAAGGGGGCTGCTCTCCAATGTCACCAAATGTCATCTCTCAGCAACTTCTCGACCCTGGACAGTTGGTCGTAGAAGCGTCACCTTCCTGTTTCTGGGGACGATCTCACGTTCTGAGGAGGCCCGAGCTGGGGGACACTGCTGTCCGTCGGCCCGGAGCCACGAGTCTGGGGCCTGGGGACGGACACCAGCGCCTGGCGCCCAGCACCCAGTGCCCAGCACCCAGCGCCTGCCACCCACCACCCCCGCCTGTCCAGCCGCGGTCTGAGTCAGGCCCACAGGCGAGGTGACAGAGGGCTCTCAGTGTCAGTGAAAATGGGCTGAAAAACAGGACAGCGGAGAGGGCTCCGCGTGGGGGCGGACGTCCGTGTGATTGAGGGGAACGCGCAAGACCGCCGCGTTCTCCATGGCTCCCTTCCCTTCCCTTCCCTGTTCTCCGAGTTCTTACTGAGCGTGTGGGGGGTGACACTGGCCAACACAGCATGCGGGTTTCAGGGGTACGATTCTGTGACAGGTCGTCTGCGTGTTGTCTTGTGTGTTCGTCCCCCAAGTCACTCTCCTTCCATCCACCACCCTTTGTCCCTCTCCTCCCGCGGCCCTGCCGTCTGCTGACCACCGTGCTGTGGTCCGCAAGGCAGAAAAGCGTCGCAGCCCCCCGAGTCTGCCTGCTCCTCGGTGGGTGTGCGCCCCCCGTGGGCCCGACGCTCTGTGGGCTCAGGCCCACCGAGAAGCAGGCCCCCTGGCGTAGACACCCTGCTTGCTCGTTCCCGCCGCCACGCTCGGCGGTCCGTCTCTCCGGAGTCCCGCGTCCCGGTCCAGGGGGCTGCTCCTTTCCTCCCGCCACACCCTCTCGCCCTCGGGGGTCTTGGGGTCTGTCAGGAGTCTGCCTGGTGGCCCTCACCCCCCTGTCCCCACTGTCTGTGGTGCCACGTTTCTGCAAGACCCTTGCAGGCTGTTTTCCAACCGACTGCCCGCACCACCAACTTGTCTAGCTGCAGACAATACCTGGCAGCGTCTTCATTAGCATCGCGCTCGGTGGCGCTGAGTCACCCGGCCCCGAGAACAAAGGATGTATTTTGTGAGACGTGAAAGCATCCACCCCCGGTCCCCTCTCAACGGAGCTCGGTGCCGCGTCACCTCTGCAGGATGAGTCAGGCGGGCTTTCAAACCCCCCGTCAGGTGATTCAGCCACTGACTCAGGTGTCTCTGGCCTGGGGCCGGTGGGCTGCGTGAATCCCCCGGCCCGCACCGCTCTGCCCGACGGGGCTGCGCTAATTCACAGGCCTTTGCACCTCGACCGCCGCCCCCCCGCCCCGGGGCGCAGCAGAGGGATAATAAGCCCAGAACCCAAGACTGGACGGACCACCGGTGGTCCCCAGTTGGGGGCCGCGCTCCCGACAGGAACGAGACGTCGGGAAGGTTTCTCTTCAGAGTTCACATCCGGCACTCCGCTGATTGATTTAATGCCACTGCAATTTTCCCTGATGTGCTAAAGAGCGTCGCGTAAATGCCAGCCTGCGCCCCGGGTGACCGTGGCGCGGGGCCACCGCCCGCCTCCCAGCCGCCCACACCCGAGACTGCTTCTTTCGTGCAGAAACACAGAGACTCGGGGCCTATTGGGTGAATTGAGTAAGGTGTTCTGTTTGGAAATGCATCCCTGTCCCCCCTTTAACTGGAGGGCCGAGGTGACAGTCACCTTGGAAAGAATGCCCAGGCCCTGGTCAGGACACGTTTGGCCAACCGATGACCGCGTGACCGGATGGGACACCAAGACCGAGCTTCTCTCCCTCCCTTCCTCACGCTCTCTCTAAAAGCAATAAATTAAAACAAACTTTTTAAAAGACTTTAGTTCTTTATTTTTAGACAGAATGGAAGGGAGGGAGAAAGAGGGAAACATCCATGTGTGGTTGCCTCTAACACACCCCCCTACTGGGGACCTGGCCCAACACCCAGGCCTGTGCCCTGACTGGGAATCGAACCGGCGATCTTTTGGTTCACAGGCCGGTGCTCAATCCATTGAGCCACATCAGCCAGGG